GTCGTGTTTATTTGCTTTATTTGACTCCATTTTTACTACTCTAAGCTGAGTATTATTGTTATTATTATTACTAATTCCTAGTAGTAGTATGGCGTATGCTACTGATAAGATTTATAAGTAGTATGTGTATAAAGAGATGTTCGCTGGCATAAAATATCAAATAACAGGGAGATGGATTTGATGTCAGAGAAAGTAAATGATACAGCGTTGCGCAGATACATAGAAGATGTGAAAAGAACATAAAGAAACACAATATGAAGGAAGGGCAGACGTAGAACAACATGGAAGATCTGTGCAAACGGTGCATTGAAGATAAGGTGCACATATTTCCGCTGTATATATAGACATACCAAATTCCAAATATAAAAATTCCTCTAACCGAGTCTTTCATCGCCTACCGTTACAGTGATAATGTGTTATTAGTCATAACTGTAACCTCTCCTCCTTCTTTCCCTCTGCCTTGCTTTCTCATCTTCTATAATGTGTACTGTTAATATTGTCTCAATTCTACCACCACTCAGTCCATTTCCTCTCTCTCTCTGCAATGTCACACTTCTTCCCGTATTTGTCTTTGATTCTTCTTCTTGCCTTAATTATTTGCTAAGGTAGCCAGGTAGATAGGTAGGCAGTTAGTTTGCTCTGAGGTTGAGGCACACTAATATGCAGACACACACAACACAGCCAGTCTATAGTGCGTACACTATAAAAAAATATACTTTGTGTATTGCTGTGTCAGTTATGAGACATTGTCAACGCCGATTAATTGTAATGACAGTAGTAGTGGTAGTAATAAACACACTTACTTAGAGGTAGGGTGAAGTAATCCACCTATAATTATTGTTATTGTTATTATTATCCTGTTATATACATATATGTGATGAAGAGGCATTTGTGTAAGCCATGAAAAAGTAACAGTTGTCTATATACATTTATATGCTTAGTGTATCTTTATTTGTTATGTATGTATGTATGCAGGTATGTACTAAGCTAACCATATATTGGTCAGTAAGTATTTTCACCCTAGTAACACGTTACCGTATTCACAACCCAGCAATGTGCCTATATGCTTATCGAAGAGTATAATAGTATAATAGTGTTAGCCCCTCATTCTCTACATATTTTATAATGATATCAGTATGCCATCACTCTGTGGATATACGCGCGTATGTAGTGAGAGTGGATCGCTATGCGTTCGCTTCTCTAGGTGTAGGTAGGATACATAGCAGGGTATAATTATATATATGTACTTACCTACCTACCCGTCAATCATGGTTCTATCGTTTCGCGTTTATCATGATTTGGGGTATTTATTTTTCTAACACTACTCACTTATCCTTCCTCATTTTTTTCTCTATCTTTTGTGTGGTTATTGCCTAGTGTATTCATTGTTATACAAGAATAGAGAAAAAGGGGATACTGTGGGTTTTTTCTCTTATCCCTTTACTTTTTCAGTGGAACATTGGGTGCCTTCAAGCTAGAGGCTTGAAGTTTCGGTAGCAGTGGTGTTTATTTGGATGGGGTTGCTAGCCTCATGCCCAACCTTCCCTCTTTACCAGTCTTATTACTAGCTTAGTGAGGTAAAGGAATGCGTCGGTGGCCGGAGGTCGAACCACATGGGGGTGTGGTTGGCGAGCATTCTACCGCTGTCCCACTGACGCACTGGTATACTATGGTAGTACAGCATAACGCCACTAGAGAATAGTTTTAGTTGATGATAAAAAACACTATGGATTGATATCAGTTAGAGAACCATTGAAAACCAGCAGGGACTACTGGACAGCTGTTTCAATTGTCCTAATTTGGGACTCGGCTTCAGCAGTACGTACCCACTGCCAGGGTTCGGACCCAGTGCCTTCCGCTTACAAGGCCAGCGAGTTCGTAGATCATTCAGCCACTGGGACCCAACTTAATACAGAACCAACTCAGCCCATGATTAGCCCATGAATTCTGACTTCTGCCAATTGGTGATTTTAGCTCGACCGACACCAGCCAATGTCATCGCTAGCGAGCAATTTATCAACACTCCAAACAGTATGAACCCCACTGGTCACTACTTCTCACCAATCCTCCAGGAAACTCCGTCTTGTCTGCTAGTGTGCATCAGAGTAATTTTCAACAATGGATTTGTAAGGATTTGACTTGTTTTTTTAAGTAAGAGAAACATTGAAAACCGGCTGGGAGTACTGAAAATATGTTTCGTCCTAGTTTGGGATTCGTCATCGGTATTTTCCTGTTGGGCTTCAAACCCAGGACCTTCTGATTACAAGGCGAGGCGAGCTCGTAGACCATTCAGCCACGGGGAATCTACGTAATTACCGTGATTTTAGCGCAAGCACCAGCCATGGGCCATTCAGTCGTGTCCCAATGGTTTCGTGATCTACAGGCTTGCATTGGCCTTGTAACCAGAAGGTCCTCAGTTCAAAACCCGGCGAATGCGTACTGCCGATAAGTTTCAAAGCAGTACGAAACAGCTTTCCAGTACTCCTTGTTGGTTTTCTTCAATGTTTCTCTAATTGATATCAATTCGTCGTTAAACTTACAAAGCAAATCAAATACTCCTGCAAATCATCTCTTGAAAACAGTAACATTTGTTAACTTTGATAACACACTCGAAACGTTACCCGTATAATTAAATAAATAAATAAATAGATACTCTCACTGTCGGTTTGTATCAAATAAAATTATTCTACAATGAATGATGTATATTCACATTTTCATTGAATTTTTTCACACTATGAAAAATGTATTTTCACCAAAACATGCACGCACACACACACACCTCTCAATTAACACAGACATAAAATAGAAAAGTCTTTGTGATTAACATGAAATTTCAATCACTATACTGATATGCTCAATGGGTAGTAGTCAGCTCTGTGTGTTTGTGTGTGTATGTGTGCGTGTATGCGAGTGGATTCCCACAGTCTATCTGTGTTCCACCATTACACGTTGTTATTGTACTACACCACTTCACACTGCCCCAGTGATTTAGCTATGTTGACTTAGTCAATATTGTTATTGTAATTATTATGATTTTTATCATTATTATTATTATTGTCGTGTATGGTTTGTGTGATGTGTAACTGCCCAAATCATTTGTGTGTGTATGTGTGAGTGTGTGGATATCATTACTACGGGTTTAACATCATGTGTATTATTGATTGTTATCACAATTATTATTATTATTATTATTACTATTGTTAAACCCGTTACAACTATTACTGCCACTTATGACTAATCCATCTAATTCATACATAGATAATCATGTTAATCTTTAGATTAACTTCTGTGTGTTTCTATCCGTGTGTGTATGTGTGCGTGCGTGCGTGCGTACGAACGAATTACATAAACAGTCATGTTTACATGTATTTATTTATTTATTTAATCATTACCACTACACAGAACGATTACATCTCGGATGCCAATGTTCTAATTGTCGTTGTTCGCTTATAAAATAGAACACAGTGTGTTTTTGTACATCAATCATAATCGCGTTTTCTGCTCTCTCTCTCTCTTGTGTTATATAATAATACTACAGTCCAATTGTGTAATCAAGGCTTCATAAGAGATAACAATCTTATGTGTATGAGAGAGTATATGAGTAGTAGTTAGTTGTGAAAAATGCATTTTATTGTCATGGTGACAGTCACTTTTTTTAATTCTGGCTGCTAGCTAATATACACGTCGATTAGATGTGTGTGGAATTGAAATGATTATCAGATAAATTTTTTTAATGACTTATTGTCTCAAAAATATAATAATTTTATAATAATAATATCTTTATTCTGGGCAGTTTTTTTTAAATGTACAGAATTTTCAGGGGAGTTTATTGTGTGATATTTTCCCTTCGTATACAATATCTTCAAGTAAAATAATAATTCAAGTATTGGTTTGTCGGGATTTGGTTGATTGGTTACAGGATTTCATCATGGAAAACCTGCAGAGAGTACTGGACAGCGGTTTCGTCCCAGTTTGAGACTCTTCAGCAGTACGCACCCATCGGGGTTCGAATCCAGAACCTTCTGGTCGCGCTATGTCGTGAATTGGTAGAAGTTAGAATTCATGGGCCATGGGATCGGGTTCCAGTGACTTAATGGTCGACGAACTCGCCCTGTAAACAAAGGTCCTGGGTTCGAACCCCGTGGTGTGGGTGCGTACTGATGAAGAGTCCCAAACTAGGACGGAACAGCTGTCCTCTACTCCTTGCAAGTTTTCCAATGGTTCTCTAACCAATATCAGCTCATGATGACAGTATATCCTGTGACACAATGGTCTCTGAGCTGAATCACACACCCATTCCATCATGATATATCTGCCTTTTTCACCTTCAAGAAATCCACGATATCTGGTTGAAAGCTAATTTGTAAGATGTTCAGAAGTAGATTTTGAGAACAGTTATCTCATGCTGTATTGGAACACGTTGTCACCGATAATCAGGCCACTCCTCAAGTTTAGTAGGAACACTTGCGAATCATTTTAAATACACGCAAGAGTACTTAATACCATTAGAGGTCATCTCTTAATCAGTTAAAACAGGCCGAACTCGAGAGAGAATATATGCAATAGAGAGAGAGGGGAGTTTTTGGTAGCTGCCCAAGTTTTAAGCGGGCCTTCACAGCCATATAAATATGCACATCAGTGGCTCAGTGGTAGGGCGTTCGTCGACCATACATGTCTGTGGTCTGGGGTTCGAGTCCTGCCTGGCTCACATCTTTATCCTCCCCTAGCCGGCTGTAAGCTCGACAAGGACAGGCAAGATTGGGTTGTGAGGTTAGAAACGTACTAAATTAAAATGTTCGTTGTAGAGAAGAAGATGCTCTGAATATGTATCAGTAATAATAACTTTGATTGCACACTTGTGACTGCATACGCGTCACAGAATGCAGAACTAATTCTTTTTGTTTTTCGTTTGTTTTGCGATTATATTTTCTTAATTATTGTTGTGTATCTTTTTTTCTTTTGAAGAATCTTATTTCGATGTCTTATGCCTTCATTTTCAGTCTGGAGATACAGTGTCGTCGACTGTGACTGCTGCTGGTACTGCTTCTGCTCGTACAATTGACAGACGAGAAGAGGATGTTCTCCACTCAAGCCCTAATTCACTACCGGTGACCATAGATGCTAACGGTAATGGAGTTACAGTTCCACCACCGTTGTCAAGTCAAAAACAATCTTTATCTCAGAAATTGACATCTTCATCACAGCAGCATCATCATCACCCACCTCCTCCAGGCGCTGTTCCTATGCCGGGTATGGTTGCTTTTCCGAACTCTCCTCAAAATTCCAGCAGCATATTTACATCACCTATCCGTGGTACTAGTAGTGTACCTTTGAATTCTGGGAGTGTTACTACAGCCTCTCCTATAAATAATAATTCACTTGGTTTCCCGATGTCATCAACTCCAGAATCACCCAAGCATCATCATAGTCTCTCCTCATCTCAAACACATGCACGCCGTGTGCTGAATGGTGAAGTTGTTGTAAGTAACTTGTTCTTTTTAATTTTTATATTTTTCTAATTATTTTTTATTTTTAAAAAAATGTAGAAATTGAGGCGAATCTTTTATGTGATTTGAATACCTGAAAAATATCCAACAGAGTTCTCACCTTTCTAGTCCGTTGTCTTTGATGTGGCTGATATACATACACAGCATTTGACGTAGTTATAATTGGAGGAAATTAGTTGAGCAGAGCGGGGAGGGCAGAGGGTGGGGAATACAGTGATAGTAAAGGAAACACGACTACAAAAACAGAACAGGATGAGCATGTTTAGTAGTGGAATGGTGTTTAGGTGCAGGCAGCTAGCTCACATTGTTTTTGCTACCCAAATATTATAAGGAAACAAATGCAGATGGTCACAGCGATAAAAATTGTTTGCTTTCAATGAAGGCCTCGGATATATATAGGCTGTGCACACATTGGCGGGATGATGAGGTGAGGAAGTTTTGTAATACAAATGGGGCGGTGGGTGGGGCGAACAAACCAGACTGCTCATCCACCTAGTTACATTGATGACTATAATATTGAATTGTTTTGTGACTCAAATGGTCTCTAATATAGGCAGTACATTTTCGTGATGTTGAATTCACTTTGTGTCTGTCTAAGTTTTGAGTAGTTGACAAGTCGAATTTACCTCTGTATCACACACACACTGACACGGCGTAAAAAGCAGTGTAGGCGCGCGCCGCCTGTACTCCTTTTTTCACACATAAATGTTTTTGTAAAGCTATCTCCAAACACACAGTGTCTATTCTCGAGAGTCAATGTTTAATGTTATGCAACGAGGACTACACAGCTTTTTTTAATCAAGTGGGTTGGTTTGCAGACATTTGATTGGTTTCAGGGTTTCATCATGAACTGACGAAATCGGTCGGTTAGAGAACCATTAGAAAACGATCAAGGGGGAGTACTGGACAATTGTTTCAGTTGTCCTAGTTTGGACTCTGCTTCAGCAGTACGCACCCATGGCCAGGATTCGAACCCAGGGCCTTCCGGTTATAAGGCCAGCGAGCTGGTAGACCATTAAGCAGCCATTGGGACCCGACCCAATGATCAACGAATTCCAACTTCTGCCAATTCGTGACATGTAGATATTTAACGCAACCGCCAAACAATATCTTGCCTGACTTGGTGTAGACCCCTCTGGTTACTGCTTCTCACTAGAACCCTAGGTACTTCCTGTATAGGGCCAGTCACTAGTGAGGTTCAGATTAATTGTCAAGTGTTGGTTTGCAGGAATTTCATCGTTTACATTGGCTGGAGGTTGCGCTAAATATCTATATGTCACGAATTGGCAGAAGTTGGAATTCACGGACTGGTCAGTGGGTCGGTTCCCAGTGTCTGCTTTCAATGGTCTACGAGCTCGCTGGCCGTGTAACCAAAAGGTCCTGGGTTCGAACCGCCCATGTAGTGGTGGGGTGGGTACGTGCTGCTCAAGCAGCGTCCCAAACTAGGACAACTGTAATTCCATTATGGGTAAATTTTTATTGCTCATAATCATATCAAGGTGATTATGAGCAATAAATTGTGCTCGAAACGTCATCAGTAAATATTACTGTATAACACTGTGAGACTCTATCAAAATAAAAATTTACCCATAATGGAATTACACTCTACCACAGTGCCCAAGTTTTATTCTTATATCTAGGACAACTGTCTAGTACTCCCAGCTTCTCTATTTGTTTTAATTTCGTCTCACTAGGGACTTAAAGGTCATATTGTTTAGGCTTCCGTCAAAGTGACATATATGCATCATCTAATCTATCTACTTACTTCCAAAATGCATCTCTGCGTGTGTGCACACAATAATAAGAAAATCGCATTATATTCGCACTCGAAATACACTTACAGATAGACCCCTTGCGGCACATGTGCACGCACGCCTGCACATTCTTTGTGTTCACTTGGCAAAGCTGTAATATTGTATTATTAGTAATTATTAATTTTCTCTACATTGTTATTATTATTATTGTCACTAACTCGTGACCTATAATCGCCTATAAATGCGTGACACAATTCGCTTTAATACTAGTCTAACCTTAATCTGATTGATTCTGCATTATCATCGTTGTTTCACCACAGTCTCAGTAATACAGGGCCTTTTTTATAATCATTATCATCACCATCATTAGTAGTGGTAGTAGTAGTAGTATCATACAATGAATGGTACTCTGTCGTCTGTCCTCCCCTCCCACTCATCCACCCAGCTTATTTAGTCTCTTTCACATTATGTGTAATAATTACCATGCAATGCTTTGTGTTTCTCGCCTCGACTGTTTTCATAATTTTATTATTATTATTTTTCTATTTATCGCTGTTTTGTTTGTGATCTGTTAGGCAGGTAGGTAGGTAGGTGGTTAGGTGGCCAGTAATGGTAATGGCATTAAATAAACACACGAGTGATCTGGTTGAAAAGTTTATGTTACAGTAGATTATTTTGTTTTGGTGTGTGTGTGTGTGTACTTTTGTTTTGTTTTGTGCTCTGTGTTTTTTTTTTCATTTTGACTTTGTTTGTAAATGTAAAACTGCCTTGTTTCAACATCACAGGTATATTATGGCATCAAATATTATTTGTTTAAATTTTGCTCTAGTTATAAACTGCTATAGACTAATGGATAACTTAGTGATCAGACATGCACTTGTGTTATAATGCTAATTATGATTATTATTATTCCCTTGGGTTCCGAGTGGAACATAGGGCTTCAACAACACACACCTGCACTTTCTTATATTCTCTCTACTGTCCTGTTCAGCTGGCTCCACGGTTGTCCTCGACTCCAACTCACACCATCGCCTCCATGTCACCCTCGGTCCCACGTCCTATTCACTTTCCACACTCGAGCAATAGCCTGCCTGGCGTACGATGTCATTTGACAATCTCCTTCCTCAGCATATGCCAAATCAATCCATCTCCATTTTCTTCTGCATATTTGTTGAGCTCTTCGTTAGTTCATTCATTGCCAAAGTTTCTTGTTGGCCAGCCAGTCGGCCGGTCGACCGGCCATTTTATCTTCAGTATGGAGTCAGAAAGCGAAGGTGGCAGCTGTTAATAAAAGTGTGAATTGGCCTGCTGGAAATGATTTCCCATAGAGAAGGACTCACTGACTTCACTGACATTTGTGTTGAACAGAATCCGAATGTTCTTCTCTATGCTATACTGAGTTATTGCAGTAGATTTCCAAACTGGTTTCAGGTTGATGAAGGTGTATCTCGTCTTCCCAGTTCTCTCTGTTTGGTTGGTTTTCACATCTTCATCCGTTCCGACTACTGTCTGTAGTTGAAACGATGCTGCAGCCTAGGCCAGATAAGATATGTGAAGGAAGGAAGTGACCTTTTTCAACCTCTTTCTCCCGTTCATGGTGATTAGTGCTGTTGGTGGTTGGTCGGTTGGTTATCTTCATCACCTCCGTCTCCACGTTCTCATCTGTTCATCACCTGAATGTAGTCACTCCTATCTTCGCTGCTGGCCAGCCAGCCCCTTCAGCCAGTTTGTTGCCAGTTCTCACTTGCTTGTAAATCTTCGAGTTTGTGTGACATTCAACGGCATAAATCATCCACACGTATGATCCACATCTTCTAGAGTCTTGTTATATCTGGTCACTGTAGCGTATTCCTGTCTTCTCACTCACTGCCAACGCACAGTCTTCCGCATCATCCAGTCCAGTCGACCACAATTAGGAATATCATCCTCGGTGATAATAGGCAGGCAGCCAGCTTGTCTTACTCGTGTATTCTCTCACTTCTCTGCGTTTTCCGTTGTTGATCACCTAACACATGGCATCACTATATAGCTGTTGAATGAGGTTGATAAAGACTTGGTGTACTGCACTCCATAGTGTTGAGGTAGTTTCCAAATTGCTTTTCGGTCAACGCTGTCTATCGAAGACCTTTTCGAAGTCGATGAAGTTGAGGTAGAGGTTTGACTGCCATTCTATGCTTTGTTCTGTGATGGTGATGATGACAATGATACGTGGAGTTGTAATTTGTTCAGCGCATGATTTGCCTTTCGTGAATCCAACCAGCTTGTTCCTGTGGGGCTAGTGGAATTCTGTATCCAGTGTATCTTTTATCTTCTCCAGGATGATGCCACACAGTATTTTCCTTGGCGTGGGTGAAACAAAAGCATGATTCCACACCAGTTCTTACAGAGTAAGGCATGAGTCACTCTCATAGATAAGATTTTATTTTGATAAATTACACATTGTTATACAGTAATATTAACTGATGACGTTTCGAGCACAAACTGTTTGCCAATAATGCTTGGGTAGCACAGTGGTTTAGGACTCCCGCCGACCATGCACATGGTCCGGGGTTCGATCACCTGCCGGCGCACACCCGATATCTATGGTCGGCCTGTAAAATTTGGGCTACCGATATCCATGCTGAAAATTCCATACTTCTACCGAAAGCACTGTGTGGAATCAAGCTGTAAAACGAAAAAAAAATATATTAGTGATCCAGCATAAAAACAAAAGCTAACACATGCTTGCATTTCACATTTTTGCGGATTGTGTAGGGATTTTTCAGTTTGAATAATTTCACTATAGATTTTTGGTCACTGGGTGGTGGTGCACTGGATAGAGCAGAGAGAGATGTGTTCTGTAATATTCTACGGGACTTTCCACCTGGAAGCTTTAGATTACGACACACCAAATCCGTTGACCACCTCTAGTCATTCACCTGTCAAATCTAACTCCTGTTATATTTCGCGCTATGCACTCCGCTATGGTTGTCACATCAACGAGTGGTGTGTCGATCAACGACTTTAATCACATCACTGCAACGTATTATTCATTTTGTGCGCGTGTGTGTGTGTGTATCTGTGGAAATTGAAATTTGTCCAAGTGACTGAGTTCTCAACGTAAAAACTTAGTTTAAGCTACCTTATATTTCATAAAAAGTACAACCTAAGGGGGTAGAGAAGAAAAAATATCTAAAAATCGTTAAGGAACTATAGTGAACAGAAATACATAGTAGAAAGATTGATTGATTTTGCGGAAAGAATAATGAGAACTGATGAATGGATCTAAGTGGTATATATATATGTATATATATATATATATATATATATATATATATATATATATATATAAATCACCGTCAATACACTTGATAGTTGCGCTACCTAGTTGGTTCGCGAGCCTATTGTCCTAACTAATATATTAGCAACAACGACAACAATACGATACGGCACTACGGAAAACGCATTTGAAAAAGAGAAGACAGACTGCCATCGACTTGGTGAGTTTTCACCGCCTAGTATCCATAGTGAAAATGATTGACAGCGCTTGTCTATACTATATGTATATACGATAAATGACCTTGGTAGACACTACTTACATTGGTAAATCAGAGCAGTCAACAACCAATAGGACTTCAAGGTCATGGGACGGGTAAGAAAAAATTAAGTCGATAAATCGATCAGTGGAATGAGAGAAATACTTACAGGCATGTAGAAAATTAGGTCTGTATATCAAAAGATTTCTTGAAAGGTGAGTGCTCTAACGCGCTATTCACAACGATTTCAAGCCTTGTCATCAATAATTTGCATCCATTGATACCTTAGAGCATCTCGGAGATGTCAGTTGGAAGTTAAAGTATCATAGCCAAAGTCAAGGTCTCTCAAAAGTTGACCTTCAAGGACCGATCAGACACAGGGTATGCTGTGAAATGTCATTCCAAATGAAATCATGCCTGCCCTTTCAGACTTGGAGAGGATAGATACAGTATTCTAGTCATATACTACACACTTTTTCTGCAAATGTAAACTGTAATGTAAGGTTATGGCTTTTGAGATTAAGGTTTAGTGTGTAGGGTTAAGGTTAGGTTTAGGGTTAAAGTTAGAATAGGAAGTTAGGATTATGGTTAAAGTTGGGAGTGGGTTGAAGAATAGTGTGAGAAATATTGATGGTTCTCAAAGTACCATGATGACCTACAGCCACTTGGATGAATGGATATATCGCGCATGGTTTGATTTCTGTATAGATCATCTGTGTATTGACTGGGAGACATTCTTACAAAAAATATATACGACAACTATACAGTGTAATATCAAGTTTGCAATATTTTTTAGTGTATTTTTCGACGATTGTGCGACTTTTTTACATCTGAATTCTGATTGGTTGTTGTTCAAGGTCACTGGGTTTTGCCATGGATAATTTAACCAGCCTAAATAGTCCAAAGCTTAATGGACTGGTGACTCTAAACTATAGCAGTCCAACTCGAAACTACCTAATGAACGCACTAATGACCTTGAGGGCAACCCTTCAGATGAGTCCATAGTATGTATATATGCGGAATTATGGAAGCTGTACATGAATTAGGCAGTGGATTCTATCCAAATCTACTATTTAAGTACTTACTGCTTGGACAACAGATTCATTATTGGAAGGGAGAAAACGTGTCGCTAACTGTCATCCCTGAACTAAATTCACAACGTGGTCAAATCATACTTACGAATTTGTTAATCGTTTCGAAATTTTTTAGAGTCACCTAAGAAAAGAGGATCAGAGCGGTGAATGAGTCAAGAAACACGATGATTCACAGTTGTCTCGACGAATATATATCCACAGAAATTGGCTTAACCTGATGACTATGAGGACTATGAGTGCGTCGGTGGCACAGTGGTTAGGACTCTCGCCGACCATGCACATGGTCCGGGGTTCGAACCCCTGCCGGCGCACACCCGATATCTATGGTATGCCTGAATTTGGGCAACCGATATCCATGCTGAAAGTTCCACACTTGTACTGAAAATACGGTGTGGAAATCAAGCTGTAAATCAAAAAAAAAATCCTATGTGGAGGGACTGGGAGGTTTTCTTGGAACATTTACACTATGAGGAAGTTATCCTATATAACTACTTTTTTTAAACATTGCATTACTTGTATATAGACGTTTATTTCAAATTGCGCACTTCTACTTTTATACGCATCTGATTGGTTGGTAGAGAGATCTGTCAAGGTCTTTGTTAGGTAGTTTCGTTTTGGGCTCTAATAGTTTAGAGTAGTCACCCAATGGATTGATGTCACAACATTTTAATTTATCGAATGTTTTTGATAGTTCAAAATGCACAATTTAATCATTTCACTTTTTGTTACAGGTACAAAATTACCTGTGTAATTACCCTCTTGTTGTTCATCATATCATTGTCTGACAATGTATACATATATATGTGTATGTTTGTGTGTGTGTGTTTGTTTTTAGTCCGTAGAAAGAAGTGAACCACACATCGAAACTGAAACTTACTATGATGAAAATGGCAAATTGATTAAGCGTACAGTGAAACGATCCGAAGTGACTACAACAAAAACTGTCAGTGAACGTATCATTACAAGCACCGGACAAAGTCTTCACGTAAGTTGTGTGTTTTATTTTTTATATTAAAAAAATGTACCATTAGAAGACAAGTTTGTCTGTCTGTATGACGACGACGGTCTGTGCTGTCTGTCTATCATTCACCAATTCTCATGTCTTATATGCCAATATCACTTTTGAAATTTATTTTCTATAAGTGTTATTTTGTGTGCCACAGATGAGTGTCAATAGATGATGAAGTCAATGTGGCAGGTGTGTAACTCACTGATGTGTAAGTAAGCGCTCTTGACTTCTATGCACACACACACACACTGATTCACCGATTCGAATACCTCTCCACCAAAACGAGGTTTGAATGGCAAGGTAATAATATATAATAAGTTATCATGTAACATACATAGGTAAGGTAACTTTTTTTCCAAACTTTAACTGATTGAAAATGCCCATTAAAATTTTTTCTCTCAAAAGAATGTGGTTACTGAACAAAGAATATTCACATTTCTTGATAACCTGCACTTCATTATCAGGTTCTACAGTTATGTGCATCCATCCATAATAGTGAATGAATGAATTAGTTTTATTAACAACATTAATGTTGTTTAAATAACATCGAATCAATAATAATAGTAGTATCAAAGGAATACAGTTTGATAGCATCAACGTAACACTACACACTGAATGTGAATATCAGCGAAATTACGAAAAATAATGACAATACAGATTTCATGAATTTATAGTCCCCACTGATGGCCGACCAGGGCGGTATTTTAATGGCTGGTCTGACCTGCTGTTTTGTACACAGTCAGAGCACCGGTTGTTTTAGGTGAATCGCGATAGCCTCTGCTGTTTGGGGTAAGTGGAGAAGGATTCTTCAATATTACCGTTTTGATCGGCCGTATTGTTGGGTGTTCCCGAGCGAACACGAAAAATCAGGTTCCTAGAGCAATGGCCAATATAACTCGCTCCACCTCAAGTATATATATTTGATCATGGGAATTAATAAAACGACTGTGGCAGCGAAAAAAATCTTTTTTTTCGACGAAGTCATGAACTAGTCTGTACATCCATGTATTTGTAGTAAATGCTTGAGAAAGTTCCAGAATTATTCCGGACAAGAGGTTAAACTAATAAAATTACAAAGTGTAATAAATATAGGAAGATAGGATACACAACATAGTAAGGTAGACACAGATAGGCAGTAGTATTATTCTAGAACTATTTCCAGACAGAGGTCAAATCAATAAGACCATAATACGATCATAATTACTGAAAAAAACTTGACTGTTTGAACAAATCAAGGATTAAGGACGTAGTAATAACAAAGTAGGTAGGGTATTCGGACATATATGAAAATAAAAAACAGCAACCAAATCAAGTAAATCTTGTGTATAGGACTTCGAAGAACTTTTCAGCAAATGGAGCTGAATGTCGTGAATTCACCAGATGTTCTGTTACCGAACTGTATACACCTTTGCTAACCATTCTGGATCATGTTCCCAAGTGCGTTTTACAATTGAACTGATGGTAACACCAATGTACTCGGCTCCACACGAGCAAGTGAACTGGTATATGCATGCTGAAGTGGCCCAAAGCAATAGCTTGTCTTTCACGTGGTGGTTGAATAGTTTCTTTTAGGAAAATGTTACTCGTAGGCTGACGTGCGGCGAAGTATCTTTTACTAAGTGACTTCAAAAGCCGTCTATGGACGAGTTCGGCTTCGGTGTCACTTTTAAATTCGAGATTAAGTATCAGCATCTTTTGAAGGGGGTGGAGGCGACTTGGACTTTTTCAGGCATTTTCTTTGTCTTTAGATTCTTGATCATGAATCTGGGTAGGAATCTATATTCCATCAAGGTCCATCGGGTATTTTCCCAGTTCTTCAGTGCGTATTCTCTGGATCCTCGAGGAAAGAGAGGATATCAGGTTTCTCTTTCTGCTTAGAGGCACACAAGTTTTAAAGTTGATAAGTTGTGTTTTTATCTTTTTGTATGTCCTAACTTCTTACCTATTCTGTTAATGCTACGTCCTTAATCCCTGATTGTAAAAACAGTCGAGTTTCTCAGTTAATTATGGTGTCTTTTCTACCCGATTTTCCCGTCTATTACACTTAGTGACTGTATTCACTTAACCTTTGACCGGAAACAATTCTGGAACTTTCTTACACATTTACTCTATAAATACACGAATGTACAACTGTCTAGATTGACGGTGACTTCGCGTCCAAAAGAAAATTTTCTTCACTGCAACCGTCTTTTAATAATTTCTGTGCTAAATATTCACAATGGCTGAGAGTGAGTTAGTTAGTCTACGCGTCTGGCTTACCAACACCTTAAGGCTCTGAGTTCGCGTTGAAGAGAGTCTCAGGTTACGTGAAAAAAAGCCTTCCATTAGAAGAGTACCCAATCGTTTTCAATAGTTCTCTTTAGTTAATGTCAACTCGTTGTTATCGCTATTTTTTAACTTGGCTCTTTTACTTTTGATTTATTCTCTACAGACTAATGGCGGCGATTCGTTACCTGATGATGATTTCGACCAAGTAAGTTGTCTACAATATACATGCATATATATAGATATATATGCAAGGTCGCCAAAGAGTAGTTCTCAGTAATGAATGCTATGTGTATGTGTGTGTATGAGTAGCCCTTAGACTACTTCACTTCTCTATGTGAGAGAGACTGTGACTCATCCACTCACTCACTGTTCTCGGTGCTTGGTGACTGTTAACGGCCTGACATTTGCACAGCCAGGCAGGTTGTGTGGTATCGTTAAGCCTCTCTGACTAACATTAATACATATGGAAGGGGGGGGCTCATTGCCAACCATCTCCATTGGAGAATACAAATGGTTAGTTATCATATGAACACACTGATGACGATAATTCACCATAGCCCCCTGGTGATGGTGCCTAGTGGTGTTTTTTCTGCCTTTTATTGATAGGCATAAAACTTGAGTTTTGTTTGTTCTTAGAATAATTCACATCGTCAATCATAAATCTCGTTAAGAGGGAATGGTTTAGAGGAAATTCGATAATTCCATTGCATTGTGATCTGTACTACGAAGGTGTGTGTGTGTGGGTGGTGGTGGTGATAATAGTGTAACAGTAGAAGACAAGAAACCTGGTAAAGGAATGCTTATTTGGAATGTGATATTTCTATATATAGCGAAATTATATATACACACCTTATCTTCAGATCTCCCGTGTTACTTCTGTTCCCCTTTGTATATTGTGTTCCCTTGTGTTCCTTTCACGTCACGCATGTTTCTCCGCACCGCTGTGTCATTTGCTTCCCTTGACATCAAATCTATCTCCGATGAACAACGTCACTTTGTATACTAGTACGCCACAAAAGTAGTCAGTCGAAGGGAAGGTTAGCTGTCCTTTTTTTATAGTCATCATTTGCGCCTATTTCCCGAGATGTTTTTCGTGACACTCCCGCCTCATCGACCATTGTCTTGTTTCCTTCACTTTTCCCAGCGCCAAGAAGAATAAGAAGAAGAACTAAATCATCTTTGTATGCAGCAAGTTTTGTTTACTTTTCTCTAACACTTACTGATTCCTTACCTTATCATATGTTAACAATATATATATATATATATATATATATTAATATATATGTATATATGTCATGAGAATACGCGTCTATTATGTGTGTGTGTGAGTGGGTGGGTGGGTGGGCACGTTAGTTCTTTTAGTGCACGTGTAATCACCATGTCGGATTCGCTGTTCCACATCTAACACACTAGTGAAATTTGTTCCCTACTATAATTGACTGACTGGTGGATGAGGGAGGAGGAGGAGGAGGATGAATGAGGAGGGCTTCGCGTGTGCTTTTGGAAGTGTGTGTCCCGGTCGCCCACACCGTAAAAGTTGGTTGACTCTTCGGGTACCTGAAACAGAAAGATGGTTAGTGTTGCATGACTGCAGAGCCCAGGGGACACAACTGCTTGAGGCCGGTCACACATGGCATGTTTGAACTGGCCGTTTGGTTTGCTTCCGTGTTAGTGACTTGCCGACGGCTACGGATCACCGTAGGGTAAGTTGGCGTGTACAGTTTTTCAGGGTCGACCTTTTCTAACCCCTTCTCTCCAGAGTGAATGGACAGCATAGGTAGGTGGCTGGCATGCTGGTCATCCGAGGGAAGCATCTTACTGCTGTTACATACCTATCCCCTCCCAGAAGTACTACTTTGTCCAAAGACAGACCCCCAGTATAGTGCAAAAAACAAAAAATCCTACACTATACGGGCGGTAACTGCTTTTAGTCTAATCACTGTCCTAACAATCTTCCTGGCATGGTAGGACCTGCAGGAACATTAGTTCCAGCCACTGTAGCTTGTTGTGGGTCATTGCGATATGCAAGCCCGACCGACAACCACGTCAAGGTAGCAGCTGTCGGTTGGGTCCCTACTATAATTAATGATGTTGTTGATAGTGGAGGTGTGAGACGACTCATTGACTGACTTGACTTATAAGTCAACTGAACTGAACTTTCAGCCTATCTATATCGGTCTCCGGTTCAAGTCTCCTCATGCCCTCCCCCATCGCCGCCACCTCTACATCAGCCTAGGCAACTGTGGGATACATGGAAAGATCTGTTCCAAAATATCACTGACTATTCATGTTTCGGTTTTAGGAGGCTTAAGAAAAAAGATGTTAAATAACAATAGTGCTAATATTATTGAAATCTTCAGCTCGTGATTTTTTTGAACTGGTATCATTTCTCCACATTTCACAACGCCACGGACACCTTTATTTCTCTAAAAAAAACCTTATTACTTCGAGAAACAAAAGCTGACTTATGTCTAACACATATCTCCGGTCATTTTAATTGATGTTTTTATATCTATATTTCAAGTTTGCCCACGGGTTAATATCGGTTAGAGAACCATTGAAAACCTGTAAGGAGAGTACTGGACAGCTATTTCAGTTGTCCTCGTTTGCGACTCATTGGCACTACGTACCCACTGCCAGGGTTCGAACCCAGGACCTTCGGGCTACAAGGCCAAGGCAAGCTCATAAACCATCCAGTCACTGGGAGCCGACTCAATGGTCTATGGCTGGTGGTCGCAGAAATCGAAAACTGACCAAATGGGTGGTGGGCGGCGTTCTACCACTGGACCACCACCACCACCGAGGCACACACGACCCAGAATAGGTTTCTAGTGAGAATTCGTGACCAGTGGGGTAGAGCAGGTTGCGAGTGTGAGAACACAAATTCTCGCCACCGATGACACTTGCTAGTGCCAGTCGCGCTATGTCATGCGTGAATTGGCAGAAGTTGGAATTCATGGGCTGGCTATGGAGTCGAGTCCTATTGGCTGGAATAGTCTACGAGCTCGCTGGCCTCGTAACCGGAAGGTCCTGGGTTCAAACTCTGGAGGGGTTGCGCGCCGCTGAAACGGAGTCCCAAACTAGGACAACTGAAACAGTTATCCAGTACTCCCTGGTTTATCAGTGTTTCTCTAACCGTGGTTTTGCCTCTGAGCAACTGATTTAAATGTGGATTCCATCAAATAATGCTGTGTCACTACTTATAATAATTGTCGAAAGTCTAATCATTTTTGCACATGGGTCTACACAGGAAGGTGTGTTTATTTAAACCACCCGACATATCAGTCAGGCAGTCAGTGAGTGAGTCGGTTGTGTCACGCATATCTCACTATAAAAATTGTCTTCTACAAAAAAAACCCAACATAAAATCAAGCAAACAAATCATACCAAAATGCACGCAACTATTCCATAGCAGAAATCTAACAAGTTTCTCAAATACATTAGTATTTGATATCATCAAGTTGTGTCTGTCAGACAACATCTGCGGGAGATATTATGATGTGTATTCTCCTGTCTTCGCCGCATAAAAAAAGAAATACAACCAAGCAACCAACCAACATGTAAAATATGTCTGGTGTGTGTTCGTGTTATTGGTGTGTTGTATTTGCCTTTCCTCTTGTGGAAACGTCGAAAAGAAAAACAACCCATTTAGACATTCAGATAGCAAAAGGATTGATTGAACGAACAGATATGCCCTTTTCATCAATTAAAATCCTCATCTCACTCTGGCTCCACTCTGATATATATATGCACGCATAACATCTTTAATATAATACACACACACACACAACATTTTACCTACCAATCAACATGGCACTGTGAGTGGTGAGGGTGATAATTAACGAAGAAAATTAATACACACAATCAAAGGGTAAAAATGGTTACAACACGTGGATTGCATCATGCATAATTTTGGAAAAATGCAGAGTAATTAAAGAATAAGCGAGTGTCCAATTTGGCTAGGTAACAGAAAATTAAAGAAAAATAAAACAATTTGGACTGTGGTAACTTGTAATTAAAGATATAAAGTAGTCAGAAAAATAATAAAGTAATTTGAACAGTTACGTTTAAGGTTTATGGAGAGAGGGGGGGCGAAGTAGTCCGGTTTATACATTCATGTAACAATGGCCAAGGTAAGGAAAGTGGCTGTACAAATTTCTTCTGAACACGCACAGGTTCGACTTCTTCAGGTGGGATGCGGTAAATAACTTTAAATACTGTATTAACGTCAACTTTATGTGCTCACTATCTACCTACAAGGTGTGCTAAAGACAGTGCTACGAATAGATCTTCTTTGTTGCTTGCTTAACCCACTATTATGCTGGATTGGTGGTGGTGAAGAGACAATGTACCACGTCTGCTGCATTGAAAGCTCTTTTGACTGCATTCTTCTTGAGGCGCTCACTGCGTTACTATTTCGCTGATGTTGTCACCGTGGAACTTCAGTTTTATGAACAATCGTTTCTTTTTTCTTGGAGTTGTTGTCCTACCAGTTTGTTTTGGTGTTAAATTCATACTATTCTCAATGAATTTAACTCGATAACCATTTTGACTAAGTAGTTTTATTTTTTAGTAATCTTAAACTCTCCCTCTCATTGAGGGAGTCGTTCGTTTGTGATGAACGGATTGTCCAGAAAGCAGAGAAAAGAAGCACACACAACAAAAAATTCTCCCATTTTTATCTTATGTGAATTGTATGCACTTTTGTTTCTGTCTAGACTGGACAACACTGAACTGAACTCATATCAATCTTCTTTTTCTTTTTTTTGTGCTGTTACATCATACACCTTATCTCCGTATTGTGTCTGCGTTATTCTTCATCTTGCGTTGATATATGCACACACACAGGTGTTGCGATACAGACTGTTTGTTTGTTAGTTTTGTTGGTATTTGTGTGTTGTGTGTGTGCGTCTGTCAGTTACTTACGTACATTTTATCGCATTCTTCATTCTTCAAGTAACTATTGATTTAACTGCATGACTACTAGTCTGTTGATATTTTAGAACTTCTGTTCATTTGGGCAGTTTAGTTTGACTGAGCATTAGTAGTAGGAGTAGTAGTTTCTTCGTTCGCGCTCCCAGTTGTCTAATCAATACTTTGTACTGATCAACTGTGTATGTGCCAACGTGGCGCAATGGGTTAGTGCGTTCGGCTATATTAAACCGAAAGGTTGGTGGTCCGAGCCCATCCGGGGGCGCTAGGTCTTTGTGCATCGGTGGCACAGTGGTTAGGACTCTCGCCGACCATGCACATGGTCCGGGGTTCGATCCCAGGCTGAGACGCAGTCCTAAACCTCGCTTACGCCCGGTGGAAAACGCAGTAAATAGGAAAGGTTGGGCGTGTGAGGCTAGCAACCCCATCCCGTAAAAATAAACACCTACTGAAACTTGGAAACACTAACTTGAAGCCATATGTGTGTTCCACTGGGAATGGAAGTTGAATAAAACCAAAAATTGTCACTTTTGATATTGTCTCTCCCCCCACACACATAGTGTATGTGTGTGGGTGTTTATTTTCACATTTAACTGTTTTTTAACTCCTCTGTTCTTTTTTCCTTTAGGATCTGAGTATGGCTCTGTTAGCTGTAACCAAATTGGATCCGGATATCTCGGTACTGAATGACACTGTAGGACAAGTGGAAATTAGATCAAAATCAGAAAGTGTTGTCTAGTTGCCTATAACTATCATTATTACTATTATTACTACCACTACTACTACTATTGTCTTTTTCTCTTCTTTTGCTGCTTCTCTCTGTTATTATCAATCAATAAAATGTGAAAACAAATTTACGGTTTATCTGCCTATAAAAACAAACAATTCTAGTTTGTCTTTTTTCTCTCTTTTGTTTGCTCCGATTTTAAAATATGAGAGAGGGGGTGGGGTTGGGAATGAAAGAGGACTGGAAGAAAAAGTTAGTGTGGTGGTCGATAATGACGTCATCATCATCGTCAGTCTTTGAGCAGGTGAGCTGCACTTCCTAATAAGCGTGTTCCACATAGACTAAACGGTCAAGTCGTTGTATCTGACGGACTGATTTCACCATAGAACTTTGCATATAGATGTGCACCAGATACAATTGCCACACCCCGTATAGCACACAATGCGAGTAAGGAGAGATTCAAAAGAGAGGTAATTAAGAGAAGTGTGAGTGAGGTAAAAACAATAGTAATATGGAAGAACAGTCGAGTTTTATTTGATATGATAAATCACGAAGAGTGCGTGCATCTGCACCAGAGCCAGCCATATCACCGATTGTTTCCAGCCTTCCTTGGTTCTCACTACCATCTCGAGGACTACAACCAGGCAGTCTACACCTCCCTACGTGGCTGACCACCACCACTAGCTAACTCCTCTGCAACTTCATCGATCCTTCCTATGTCAATCAGGTAGCATCGCTCCGCCCGTCGGTCGAGTGAGAAAAGCGATGGCTAGGCAGGCACGAGTGAGCAACACATGTCATAACCATCCATCTCAATTGGTCTAACTGCTTCACAATCTCGTTGTCGACTAATTTCCCCTCCTCCTCCTCCTTTCTTGCAACATAGAACTTTGCACAGATGTGTAGCAGTTCGAGTCGCCACACTCCATGTAGCACACAAAGCGAGAGAAGAAAGTAAAAGGAAATGTAAAACAGATATATGAGGCAAAAAGAATAGTAACATGGAAGAACAATGTAGTTTTATTGGGAGTGGATGCATCTGCACCATCCGTTGAGAACGATCACTTTGAACCAGTCATATCACGAGTTGTCTCCAGCCTTCATCATCCCGAAGACCCAACCAGTCAGGAAGTCTACACCTTCCTACGTGGCTGGCTGGCTGGCTTAAACTAACTGTTGTAGATTTCATTGACTGATGAAGCCATGTTTTGGTTTGACCACCACTGGCTAACTCTTTTCCAACCTGATCCTATGTCAGCTAACATTACCCATTGTTGAGGAAGGCGATGGCTAGTCATGCCATCTCAATCGGCGTAACTGCTTCACAGCCTCGTCAATAGATTGATTTCCCCTCCCACCTACCTAACACTAGACAGACGCCTAACCTCAATATTGCTCACCCTATTATACCACAACCTAATACGGGCGATAGAACACAGACGCCTACGATAAAAGGCAGCTAGTCGGCCTTTTCATGTCTTCCACTCTCAATGACCATGTCTCACAGTCGTAAAGGAGTTGTATGGAGTGGACTACTGAGCAGTACACACGGCCTTTGTTCGACAGCCAGCCGGATATCATGTCTACTAAGCCAGAGACGGGTACCTATGTATGACTGTGTGTGTATGCCTGGGCATATGAATGTCTCGTTTCACATCCTCTACCAAGAATTTCAACTTGATCCATTTCTCACAGTAGAAGTTAGGTTGATTAAGTGAAGCTATAAAATGAGGCAGTTTTTCTCTTTATATCTATAAACGCTACTATAGATTTACCTCTAAGGTACTACTGTGATGAGGGCTACTTATAATCATAATCAGATATAAGTAGTATATCAGTAAACGAATTCAGAAGAAGCAACAATATGCTTCGGACACTGGAAAAAAGCAATCGCAGAACAGAACTGTGAGAATAATGTTAGAGACACTGTGCAGAGTCCAACAGGCTATTTATTGAATGTGGTGAAATTCGACCAATTTGCGAATGATGTGCAAATAAAGCATTGAAGATATGGTATACCAAATTTCTTTGAGCCTTACCGGTCTTTACTTCTTTACACTATTGCTAAATGAAGCAGTAGAGTTCACATGTTCAAAGTTGCCGTATATATCATTTTCACTTTCCTCGTAATTTTTTTGTCGATCTTATATAATAGTGATAAACAGATAGCTAATAAGATTATGTAACACAATTTTGTCGAATTTACTTACGGAGAAATGGAACAAGTTGGAATTCTTGATAGAGGATACATAAAACGAGACATTCATGTGCACCACTCACAACTCCCCCCTCCACACACGCACACACACACATGCAGTCATATATAGAGGCACCTACGGTTAGGTAAAAAGAAAGAATTACACAAATAATAAGAATAAGAAACTTTGCATGTTGATGATATAAGTGAGACAGTTGGTTTACATGCGAATAAACAAATACACGAACACGCGAGAAATTATGTCTAGGCTGAGGCACGTGTACACACGGACGTGTGTGTAGACGATAGATAGGCAGGTAGGTATTATTATTATCATCTATTTTGTAGGTTATTGTTGTTATTAACACCGGGATGAATGGTAGTAGTAGTAGTAGTGATAAATTCGATAGTATATGATATATATATAAGTGGATATACAGTGTTGCTACGTTCAGTTTCTCTCTCTCTCACACATTACTATTATTGTTCCCTTGGGTTCCTAGTGGAACATAGGGCTTCAACTGCACGTCTCCACTTGCTTCTGTCTTCTGCTGTACTTTTCACCTGCATCCATGTTAATCCATACTGTTTCAACTCCTCTTCACACGATCTCCTCCATGTCACCCTTGCACCGACGAACCACTCGCCGCTTCCCTTTCGGGTTCCACTCGAGCTATGGCCTGACGCGCGATGTCACCCAGCGGCCTCCTCAGCGAGTGAGTGTCCAATCCATCTCCACATTCTCCTGCATATTTGTTGGGCGATTGGTTCTTGTTTTGTTTGTTTGTTCCCAAAGTTTCTTGTTGGTTCTTGTTCTTTCCGGTCATCTGATCTTCAGCATAGAACGAAGACAGTTGTTGATAAAGGTCTGCAATCTGTTGGAAATATTCTTTGTCATCCGCCGCCAAGTTTCTGATCCGTATAGCAAAACTGACTTGACGTTTGTATTGAAAATCCGAATTTTGTTGTTGATGCTGAGTTGAGTGATTTCCAGATTGGTTTCAGATTGATGAGTGTGTTTCTCGCCTTCCCGGTTCTCGATTTGACATCCTCGTCCTTTGCTCCTGTAGTTGAGACAATGCTCCCTAGATAAGTGAATGAAGTAACCTCTTTCAAATCCCTCCCGTTGATGGTGATTGGCGTTGGATGTTGCTGCTGCTCTTGTTTTTGTTGGTTGGTAGGTTATTTTCATAACCTCCGTCTTGTCTATGTTCACCTGCAGTCCTGTCTTCTCTGGCTGCTTCTTCGACCAGTTTGTCGGTTTTCGCTTAGTAAGTCTTAGATTTTGTGTGACATCAAAAATAAATCATCCGCGAAATCCAGGTCACACACATTAAGCTGGCCAGAATATTCTATCAGTATTCACTAACTGTTTAATCATCCATCCCGTGAATATGCTATCGGGGTCTTCATCTTCGAGCTGATTTCAGAAGCGGCTTCTCATAGTTTTATGATGTCCATCTATATGTGTTTATATGTAAATAGATAGGTATGCAAAGTTAAACTTTAAGCACCACCAACTATACCAATCAGCAAATGACCTCGAACGCACCAATCACGTAAAGGAGGCATTTTCGTGTATGGAATATATATGTATATATTTATGAAAAAAATACATGAAAACTACAAAAGTGTTACACAGGGTAGCTTTCTCTCAAAAAGACCTTGACAAATCTCCGTCAACCAATCAGATGCGTCCGATGTGAGAGTGCGTAATTTGCGATAAACGTCTATACAACACAGGTGATGCAATGTTAAGAAAATGATTACACAGGATGACATTCTTTTATATGATCCAAGAAAATCTCCCAATTTCTCGTAGCAGTCCTCATAGTCATCAGGTTAAACCAATTTCTGTGCATAAATTCGTTGAGATAACTGTGAATCATCGTGTTTCTTGACTCATTCACCACTCTGATCCTCTTCTTTTAGGCGACGCTAGAAACTTCCGATGGAATTTGGGAGTCCTAATCAAAAGGATTAACGAAATCGTCCGTAGGATTGACCACGTTAGCCCATGGATAACAGTTGGCTACACGTTTTCTCCCTTCCAATAATGAACCTGTTGTCTAAGCAGTAAGTACTTAAATACTGAATTTGGATGGAATCTACTGAGTAATTCGTGTACAGTCCCCATAATTCCGCCCATACACATACTATGGGCTCATCTGACTGGTTGCCCTCAAGGTCATTAGTGTGTTCATTAGGTAGTTTCGTGTTGGGCTGCTATAGTGTAGAGTCACCAGTCCATGAAGCTTTGGACTATTTTGGCTGGTTTGAGGTATAAAAAGAAGAGTAAAGTCAAACTATGATAGCCAAAACCACAATGACCTTGAGTGACCAATCAGAATTCAGATACAAAGATAGGTTAGGATTAGGAATTAGGTTTATGTTTAAAGTTGGGAGTGGGTTGAAGAATTTTTTTTCCTTCACGTTCCCCAGTGGAACATAGGGCTTAAAGCTAGAGGCTTGAAGTTTCGGTAGCAGTGTTTATTTTTCAGGATGGGGTTGCTAGCCTCATACCCAGCCTTTTCTCTTCCCCAGCATTATTTCTGGCTTCGCGAGGTAAAGGAGTGCGTCGGCCAGCCGGGCATCGAACCCCGGACTATGTGCATGGTTGGCCAGCGTCCTAAACGTTATGCCACCGACGCATAGTATGAGAAATATTGATGGCTCTCAAAGTACCATGATGACTACAGTCACTTGGATGAATGGATACATCGTGCATGGTATGATTTCTGTATAGATCATTTGTGTATTGACTGAGAGACATTCTTACAACACATCAGCTACAACTACTCAGTGTAATATTTCAAGTTTGCAATATTTTTTTAGTGTATTTTACAGCGATTATGCTACTTTTTTTACATCTGAATTCTGATTGGTTGTTGTTCAAGGTCACTGAGTTTTGCCATGGATAGTTTAACTTCGTCTTCGTCAGACTGGCTGCTCAAGGTAATTAACGCGTTCACCAGGTAGTTTCTTTTTGGGGCTGTCATGGAGTTTAGTGTCACCCTAGTCTGTTTATGTATGCATTGAAC